GGGAAATCTGAGCTGCCGAACAAAACAGGGGTGCGGGGATTTTTAGCCGCTGAAAGGGAACTTGGCAATAAAGCTGGTTAGTGCAGGTGAGTGGCACGGCACGGCACTGCTGGCGACACTGGAAACCACAAACAGCATTTGCCTTGGCTTCCCTTGTGCCGCTGCGCGTGGCGGGAGGCTCAGAGTGACCTGGGAGCTGCTCTTGCTGCTTTTCCAGCTTTTTTTTCCTTTTCCATCCGCACCACATTCACCCTCCTGCATCTGCCCAAGGCCAAGGGGTGTCGGGGCAGGGCTGGGCCGTGTGCCCCGGCTCCCCCAGGCCTGATGTTACACACGGGCTAGGGCTGTCCCCCGGGTCCCCTGGGAACAGGCCTTTTCCTGAGTGCGGTGGGGAGCTGGTGTCCCTGGCTGTCCCCTCCCCTGCACAGGGCTGTCCCCATGGGGCACAGGGCTGGCACGCCCGGTCCCCTGCCAGCTCCCCTGCGCGTCAGGAGAGCCTGGTCCTGTGCCGGCACCTCGGCACCATGGTACTCGCGCATCGGGCACAGCGCCAGTGGCACAGCCCCAAACCTGGCACTGTGTGGCCCTGGCACTGCTTTGCAAACTGCCTGGGGGTGGAAGTAATGGGGTGCAAAAAGATGGGGAAACCCAGGGTGTACGGAGTGTGTGCAGCACTCTGGCTCCTGCCAAGGATGGGAGGCTGGGGGGTCTGGGGAGCCAGGGGACACGAGGGGCCAGGGATGGTGACTCTTCATGCACTTGTTTAAAGCAAGTGTCTCCTCCTTTTAAACTGGTTTTTGGTTTACGTGGCTCTGAGTCGCAGGTGGCTGAGGGGCCTTTGTGCCCAGCTCTGGAGGGAATTGGGGTTTATTTCCCAACATTGTGAGCGAGGACAGATTCCAGAGGAGCTGTAATTGTTATAACAGTGAATTATCCAGGAACTGAGCTGTTGGTACCACCTCACCTTTGTATGTCTTGATTTTACACTCCAGGGCTTCCTGCTGGGGACAGCCCGAGTACAGCAGCGCAGGGGCAGAGGGAGCAGGGGTGGGGACAGGGGTGTCTCCTGCCTTTGAAGTGGAGTTTAATCCTGTTAAAAGCAGAGCAGTGAGCAGCGGAGCCTGACTCTGCTCAGCAAGCCTGAGGTCAGCAGCTCCACTCCTGCTCTGCGCTGTCACCCCACGGGTGGGCACCCCCAGGCCAGGGTGGGGGTCCTGCCCATGCCCCATGCCGCAGAGGCACCTAGCCCTTTGTGGGTCCCTGGCATGCATTGTGCTAGGGCATGGGCTGGGGCAGCCACCCGTGAAACGCCCAGCCAGCCCCTGGGGATACCTGAGGGACCTCACTGCATGGGGCACCCCAACACCCTCCCCAAAGGGGCCTCATCCTGCTGGGTGCTGGGCAGAACCCGGCCCCTCAGCTGGAGCAAGGGTTCCTACGAGCTCCTGGACAGCCCCGGATGAGCCCCATTGTGGGGTGGTTACAGCCCCCTGGGCCATACAGGACAATTTGGGGTGAAAAAACAGCATTCCGGTGTCCCTTGCCTGCTCTTGAAATGGCCCCACTGCCCACAGCAGGTGTGCGATTTGCCGTGCCAGAGCTGCCTCTTGCACCCGCAGCAGTGGGGCGGCTGTGGGCTGTTCCTCCTGGTCTAGGTCGCGTCCCTCCTCGCTCAGGGACGTCGTATGGCCCCAGGTGCGGGGACACGGGGCAGCTCCTGCGC